TCATCTGTAAGACGAAATTCAAACGTTGATCTGTGTTTTTCATATTTCTAATTGGAGATCGAATGTGTTCGCCACTGTAATCTCCGGCTCTTGAGTCCGAGCTTTAACTCTTGAACTCAAGCTTTAACTCTTGAGCTCTAGCTTTAACTCGAGCTTTAACTCGAGCTTTAACTCGAGCTTTAACTCTTCAGCTCGAGCTTTAACTCTTGAACTCGAGCTTTAACTCTTCAACTCGAGCTTTAACTCTTGAGAGCTCTGGCTCATGATGGAAACTTTTGAGTGAATAGTTGCCCTTTAGGAGCCAATAACTGAATCTAGAATTTATAGAATAGAATTTAGAATACAGCAAAATTTAAGACAAAGATTCGTCGCAAGAACTTAAGCAAACTAACGCCGAAAAACGGAGTGCCAACCTGGTCACTCATCTCTTGTTTTCCTTGACGGATTTCAAAACGATAGACCGGATGGGTATGCTGGCCTCTAGCAGAATTGAAATGTCTTTTAAACTAAATCAAATAAAATAGGATAGAATTCAATTTTAATAGTTGATGGGTTTTAGAAATGTATGAAAATTGAATGTTTCTTTGGTTTTTCTAGAATGAACTTTCAAAACTTTCAAAGGCTTCAAAGGCTTCAAAGGCTTCAAAGGCTTCAAAGGCTTCAAAGCCTTCAAAGCCTTCAAAGCCTTCAAAGCTTTCAAAGGCTTCAAAGCCTTCAAAGCCTTCAAAGCCTTCAAAGCCTTCAAAGCCTTCAAAGCCTTCAAAGCCTTCAAAGCCTTCAAAGCTTTCAAAGCTTGAAGTAGAGCTTTAAAATATCTCTAAAAACAAACAAACAGTAGATAATTTGATCAAAGTCTATTCCCCTTTCCCTTTTCACTTCCAAACTTGAGTGTGTCCCTTTTTTTTCTCCAAATTTCTTTCAAATGTCCGCCATGTCTGACGGAATTCCCCTCTTTTCAAAAGTAGAGGCGACTCGGGATTTCGAAAGTGTGGGAAAATCTTCTTGGCTCTAATTCTCTCGTCAAAAAATTCGACCTCAACACACACGATTTCTTTCTGAATTTTAACACGTGCATTTTTCTTTGCCTGGAAAAGTTTGTGCTTTTGTTGACATCATTTTGATGGGAAATTTCCAAACTTGCACCAATTTATTTTATTGGATCCAAGAAAAGAAACTTCTAACTCTAGATTTTGATTTTTGACGTTTTATATTCAAAATTGTTCTTATTTTCTAAGTCTATAGTCATAAATATTTGTTTTTTGATTTAGAAACAAATATTTATAAAGATTTGTTTGAAACAAGATTTGTTTAGAGCTATAAAACTCCGATAAAAATAGAAGAAAGTAGAGCTTTTATCCTTCATCGTCATCTTCCCTTCACCACCAAAAAAGCTATTTAGTTCCCCATTGAGCTTCGGGTTAGGGGGCCGTCTGTCATGACGTGGGTTAAGTTAAGATATAGCCTAGTATTGTGTGTGTCGTTGTATTGTGATTGATATATTTCGTGTATGCGATAAATTCACCACTGGTAGCCCCAGTCGGTATTTTTTTTTAGAAAGAATAAAAGAAAAGCGCAAAAAGAGCGTTTAGAAAATGACTTTGCTAACGAGCACCTTTGAGAAAACATGATTTGAACGATTTGTTTTGAGCTAGGATTTGATTTAAGAGGAATACAATCTAGTCGGCTTGTAGACTTGCTATTGTCTAGACTAGTCTGTAGACTTGCTATAGTCTAGACTAGTCTGTAGACTTGCTATTGTCTAGACTAGTCTGTAGACTTGCTATTGTCTAGACTAGCCTGTAGACTTGCTATAGTCTAGACTAGACTCTAGACTTGCTATTGTCTAGACTAGCCTGTAGGCTTGCTATAGTCTAGACTAGCTTGTATACTTGCTATTGTCTAGACTAGCCTGTAGACTTGCTTATCGAGTTTATCGATACACGGCATGCTCATGTTTAACCGTTCAGATCTCAGTTTCTAGAAAAGCTATCAATCTAAAAATTGTTCCATTGGAAAGCCAAGAATGTCAGGTTTTCATTGCTATTTTACAGCCATCTTCCATGATTAAGCACCTCATAAACCTTATCGAAAGTATCGATTATCAATCAGCTTATCGATATTTGAGTATTGATAAGTTTTGAAAAGCTTTTTAAGGCACTCGTCTATGAGAATGGCGAAGTGTGAGATGGCAATCAAAAGCTGAGATTCTTGGCTTTACAATGAAACATTAAGCAGATAGATAGCTATTCTAGAAACCGAGATCTGGTCGGTCAAACATGAGCATTCCATATATCGATAACCTCGATAAGCAAGTCTACTGGCCTGGTTTTACTGTAATGTCCATGTCCTAGGCTGTTACTGATCTCAGTACTGATTTGGTACAATCTGTTGATTCAATACTGACTTGATATTGATCCAGTATTGATCCGGTATTGATCCGGTATTGATTCGGTATTGATAATCCAGTACTGATAGTGATAATCCAGTACTGCTCTGGTCCAGATTTGACCGGCTTCGACCTGGCGTTGCCCGTTATTTTCCGCTTCATCATAACGAAAATCTCTTATCCTAAACCTTTCCAATAAAAAAATGCTATATTTCTTTTCAAAGTGACAGGACAAAATATGATTCACAGAACACCAAAACAATGGAAAAACAGATTCGTTTTTGATTTTATTCAGCATTTTGATTTTATTTTATTTCATTTCGCTACTCTGTTAAATATTTCAAAATCTCATTCATAGTTTTTGTGTGTGTTTTTTTTTTTTTGAGGGAATCTCGTGAAAAACATGTGGGAAAAGCTCTTTAATCGTCTCTTTTATTGAACCAGTTGCTCATCGAAATATCACTTTGTTTTTTGGTCAGAAATTTCAATTCATTTGAGTTGAATTGAGTTTTAAAAGAAAATTTTGATTCAAACTACTTGTATTCTTTTCGTTTTATCGCTTTATAATTCGCTTTTTACCGTATTTTCTCTAATAGTAATGCACCCTGAGCATCGCCTAAATTCCTCGAAATCTCAAGAAGCGCTTATCAGAACCTATCAATGTGGAGTCGGAAAATGTAGCTGACAATGAGATCTAGTGGGGGATTAGAGGGTTGAGCTTCTGCAAAAGCTTGGAAACTACTCTTCCCGCATCCAAAGAGAATTCCGATCTCTCTGCTCGAGAAGCTCGGCTGCTTCCTCCATTGTTCATCGCTTCCACTATCTTCACCTTATCGGGAGTAGATAAATGCTTGCGCGGAGACATCTAAAAGAAAGAATCAATAGAATATATCTGAAGAAAAAGCACAAAAGAAAATAGAAACAATACTTTTTCTACCTTCACCCCTTTTTTTTGCACCATTATTTCAGGCCATATTTTGGATAGTGTATTTTTTTTCACTAAAATTGTTACTTCTTATGATTATGTGTTATGGAAACTAGAAGTAATGGGCTACTTAAAACCTCTAATTGCTTTTTAAACTTTTATTGAAATTTTTTTTTTATTCCTGGCAAAATAACTTCTGCCGAGGACTAGCCCAATTTTTTTGCACCACACTTTAGTAGTGCACCAAGAGGGTCGTCTAAATTCCTCGAAATCTCGTCAACCGCTTATCAGAACCTATCGATGTGGGGTCGGAAAATGTAGCTGACGATGAGATCTAGTGGGGGATTAGAGGGTTGAGCTTCTGCAAAAGCTGGGAAACCGGAAAATAGTCAGCAACTCGGCTCGGCCAGGTGCACTATTATTAGGGAGCATATGGCTTACAAAGGTCAGACAGAAATCAGATCAGGTCAAAAACCAAGCCAAGCTGAAAGCCAGTCAGCATTGACCTCTGATAGCTGATAGCTTTAATTACAGTCTTTGTATGATGATTTTTATGACCCGTAGTTCCTTTTACAAGTACCTAATATACATGTCGTAACCGATTATGAATTTCAGCCGATTACCCTGAGCGTCGCCTAAATTGCTCGAAATCTCGTCAACCGCTTATCAGAACCTATCGATGTGGGGTCGGAAAATGTAGCTGACAATGAGATCTACTAGGGGATTTAAGTGTTGAGCTTCTGCAAAAGCTTGGAAACCGTAAAATCCTCACTAACTCGGCTCGCTTGGGTGCACTACTAGAGAAAATACTAAAATGTCCGATAATTGGCTTTAAGAGATCGGACTCTGACGGAATCAAGAAAATAATCTTTAGGTAGCTTTTTCTAATAGTAGTGCACCAAGAGGGTCGTCTAAATTCCTCGAAATCTCGTCAACCGCTTATCAGAACCTATCGCTATTTAGTTATGTAGCTATCTACCGTATTCCCTTTAATAGTAGTGCATCTTAAGTCTTGCCTTAATTCCTCGAAATCTCGAGAAGCGCTTATCAGAACCTATCGATGTGGGGTCGGAAAATGTAGCTGACGATGAGATCTAGTGGGGGATTAGAGGGTTGAGCTTCTGCAAAAGCTTGGGAACCGTAAAATAGGCATCAACTCGGCTCGGCGCAGTGCAGTGGTAGGGAAAATGCGGTATCTTTTCTTTCCCCTACCTGGTATTCAACGGGAGTCTCCTTGTAGTTAAGCATCGCTCCACCCAATAAAGAGTAGAGAACCAAATTACTATTTAGATGAGCTAATGGTCCATGTTTCATTGCCGTATCTCCTCTAATAGTAGTGCATCCAAAGCTTCGCCTAAATTCCTCGAAATCTCGTCAACCGCTTATCAGAACCTATCGATGTGGGGTCGGAAAATGTAGCTGACAATGAGATCTACTAGGGGATTAGAGGGTTGAGCTTCTGCAAAAGCTTGGAAACCATAAAATACTCATCAACTCGGCTACACTAGTGCACTACTATTAGAGAAAATACGATAACAATTTATCCATCGTTTCTCTTGATTTCTCAATCTTTCAGAACTCTAACTTTCAATTTGTTTATTGTAATTTCTAAAATCTTTCTAGTTATATTAATCTATATTATATTATCTATATTATAAGTTGTAATTTGATAAAGAAATAGAATTTCAGACAGTTCGCCTTCTTTGCCTCTCCAGCGCCGCTTTAGCTCTACTAGACGGATCGACGAAACTCGTTCTCAAACGACAGCACGCATCCACTCTTCAGCAGGTAAAAGAACTAGAAAATATTATTATTATTAATATATCTAGCCATTTTCTTAGTAAGTTATATATTTGCATTCAGTTAAAAAGCCTAAAAATGACTGTTAATCGATGATCGAATGTTACAAAAGAGTGATCAAAAGTATCACTTGTGTTGTTGAACTTCAAAAACAATTATTTGAGCTTACTGAGAACTTTTACTATTACTACTATTACATTTACTATTACTACCATTACATTTACTATTCTTCTACTATCATTTAATCGATTTACAATCTGATCTCAATGCTTTGTCTACGAAGAAAAAAAAGCTACAATTTAGTCACCATTAAGCGAATCATTTCATCTGTTTCTCTTTTCTAAAATCGAATTCCAGTGGCGTGTCGGTGGCGGAGTGTCAAAGCATCAACTTTTACTCGAATTTCGCGGCACCAAATGGCAATTGATCGGTGAGTTTTTAAGATTTATTCAATTTTAAACAAAGCCTGGATGATCTCTAGAAAAAAGGATACTTCTATAAGCTTTTCTAAAAATTCTAAGTTTAAATTTAAACAATTTTTTGCTTAATAGGGTTTTAAAATCGTTGATCTTCTGTTTTGTTGACATTTTGAGTTTTCGAAGGTCCACAAAGTCTCAAAAAAGAGGCAGTCAGTAAAAAGATTGACAATAAGCTGTCTGGTACAAAACTGGAATGATTTTGTTTAGTGAGGCAACGTCTATCGGATCTAAAATCGGGTAACAAACTACGGTTATTTCGTTCTATGTAAAAATGATTAAAGTAAATCGATTTATCAATAATCATCTCAATATTGGGTATTAAAGAATGTAGCTTTTTAAGGCTAGTTTAAGCCTCGATTGTCGTTGGTTTTAGCTCAAAAAGGCGTAGAACTTGTACCAAAAAATACGGGGGTAGTCAAAACAGCGCCATAATAGAAAAAGGTTCAAAACAGCGCCGTCAAATTTCTCAAAATCCAAAAAACCAAGCCGGTTCAAGTTTTATATCAAAAAATTCCTTGCGTTCTTGGCTACATGATGGGTGAAACAGTTTTTAAAAAAAGGGTAATATTTCATAGATAAAAAGAGCACTTAAAATGTGGGTCGAGTGATGCTCAGTTGGTTAACTGAATATCTTTAGAGACCCATTCGAGGTTTGACTATACTTCTATTACTTCTATTACGACGCCTACCTATCGACAATTTGCTTTTAGTGAGAATCGGTTCAAATTCATCCCTTTTTTTTTAAGTAAATCAACAATTTTCACTCACTTTTTGGTTTCTTTATGCCAAATATGCACTCAAAATTGTGCTTAAACGATAAGCGAATGGCTTAAAACTTGTTTAAAACTTAATACTCCTATAATAGCTCCAAATTTTCAAATGTTCGCTTTTACACATCCTAAAGTTTATCCCATTTAAAGTCAAAGTCTGAAAAGGGCAATTGCAGAATAGCAGTTTTCTCACCGAAGAAATCAATACAATTTTGATATTTCCAATGAATACATTCAATACATTCAATTTGAATCAATAAATGTCTCTTATCTTAATCGGAAGGTCGAGGGTTCGAACCCCACATGCGACATGGTCACCCCCTTCGGATTTCCTTTCCCTTCGGGTTGAGAGGTTTTCTGGAGGGCAGTCTGGTGGTTGTGGCCCCAGTTCTTTAAAGTGACAAGCCACTCCTTCATCGTCATCTTCCCTTCACCACCAAAAAAGCTATTTAGTTCCCCCATTGAGCTTAGGGTTAGGGAGCCGTCTGTCATGACGTGGTTTAAGTTAAGATATAGCCTAGTATTGTGTGTGTCGTTGTATTGTGATTGATATATTTCGTGTATGCGATAAATTCACCACTGGTAGCCCCAGTCGGTATTTTTTAAATAAAATTTAAATTTTCTGAATTAAGACCGATTCTCAAATCAAAAAAACATCATACTTTTTTGCTGAAATGACGAAATCCTAAGATCTTTTCACCTTTTCACCTTTCCAAGATTCACGCCTTTTTTTTCCTTTAAATTCAAATCACCACCTCAAAAACAATCTAAACAAGTTGAAGAGGCAAAAAAAACGAAAAACTTCTCTCTTTCAAACTTTTCTCCTCCAAAAATTTCCATCTACAGGCGAAAAATATAGGCGTTTGTTTATTTTGCCCAAACAGTTCTCTCTTTTTTCCCCCTCAAATTTCCAATGATTCACTCTGTTTCGATCGGAAATTTCACGGAAAATTTGCATTTCCCGGACTCTCACTGGACATTTTGATTGTATTTTTGAAAAATTTCTTTTCTACTTAAGCCTATAATGCAAAATTCTAACCAGAAAAAGACGAGAAGAGTTAGATTTGGTTTGTTTTTTCAAATTTTGATCTAATAAGGTTCTAATACGGTTCCTATTTTGATCTAATACGGTTCCGATACGGTTCCAATACAGTTCAGCCACGATTCCCAAAACGGTTCCAATACGGTTCCAATACGGTTCAAACCACGATTCCCAAAACGGTTCCAATTCCGTTCCAATATGGTTCCAATACGGTTCCAATACGGAAGTATTTATCGGGTTGGTGAACTAAAATTTATTGAACATAAAACCATCAATTCATTCCAAATAATCTCCATTATTATTGACGACTTCTGCCCATTTTACAGCCAATTTGCGGATTCCTCTTTCGTAGTAGGGTTTTGGTTTGTGTGTGAGACAAGTGTGAGACTCAAAAATCGAGGACTGGAGATGTCAGCCGTCAGCCCAGTTTGAGCACTTTCTTCAAAAGAAACCCATTTTGGTGTCAATAGAACAGCTGTAGAGAATCAAAAATTAGGCTTATATCCAAATTTCCAAAAAGATACACTTAGTAGTTTCGCTTAAAATGCAAGTTTTGTGAAAATTTGGCATTTCTTTTGTGTAAATTTGGCATTTCTTCAAAACGAGTTTTTGAATCGTTCTGAAAATTTGGATATAAGCTTGATTTTTGATTCTCTACAACTTTTCCATTGACACCAAGATGGGTTTCTTTTGAAGAAAGTGCTCAAACTGTCACATATTGCAATAGCCCACAGTTTTCAAATCACCAACCCAATAGATTTAAAGATTTAGTAGTTTTTTGTATTTTTAAAGATAATTTTTGACTTTTCAGCTCCATCTTATAATGTTCTCAAGGCGATTTCGATGACTTTATGGGAAACAATGCAGGTGAGGATCAAAATTAAATCAAAATTAAATAGGAAACAAGAAAATTCAGGAAAATCGGATCAAGATTAAGTAAAAGGGATAAAATCTTAAAGAAATACCGTAGCTGCTCAAAATTATTCACTTTTTAAGAAAGCCGTTAGTTGTTTATGCTTATACTAGAAGCTTTACAGCAAAAAAAAAAGCGTTTTTGGCGTAAAGAATTGGCGCCGAGAGGAGTCGAACTAGGGACCTCTCTCTCCTCCATTTGTTTGAGTGATATCACAAAAAGGAGAATGCGACTACGCGACTGTACGCCCGTCATTACGACGGTGGCATTCGATTAGAGTATCAGCAGTAAAACGCAAAAGAATTAGCGGTGAGAGGAGTCGAACCAGCGGCTTCTCTCTTCCGTTTGTTTGAGAGACGTTAACCACTCGGTCATGACATAGCGCAGTGCGAAATCACTTTTCTCTAGCCCATACGACCCAAGTTCGACTCCCGCTTCCGTTAGCAGTTTTGGTTTTTTTAAAATTTAAAAACATGTTGTATAGCTACATAGAATTTGAAGCCAAACTAAGCATTAGTTATTTGAAACGGCTCACTGGGTGCGGAGGAGTTATGGGCAGAGACAAATAGACAGACAACTCTTTTATATATCGTAGATTATTACTTTTGACTAAAATGTCCACATTTTTGGATACATTTTGTTCAAATGAAGGCTCAAGAGTTCTAAAGCCATTGCAAATTATAGGAAATTGAAAGATTTACAGCTGAATGATCTAGAATTGACGCTAGATTACAGCTGAATGATCTGGATGATCTGGAAAGCATTGATCAAAGAAAGCATTGATCAAAGAAAGCATTGATCAAAGAAAGCAATTGACCTAGAAAGCAATGATCAAAGAAAGCATTGATCTAGTACGTTTTATCACCGAAAAACTTCAGGCATCAGCATCAGCGAATGTACAAAAAACGTTAAACCAATCAGCCACTCGACAATCGCTCGCCGAAGCTGCGAACTCGCCAACAAGTGAGCTTTATCTTCTATTCAACTAACTTTACTTTTCATACAACGATTAGAACATTCACTTGGATAGATTGATAGATTTACTTGGGTTCAAGATAGATTGATCTCAGCCTGGGAAATCATAATGAAACTGAAATCATATAAAACCCCACACGACGCGGGTTCGACTCCCGCTTCTGTCGGCACTTTTTAGTTTTTCATAATGGAGCTGAAATCATATACCGTAAATACTGTAATAGTACCCCACCCCCATAATGACGGTGCGGAGTTTTGCGTAGTCTAGCTTTGAACGAGTGTTTCTCGACACTGGTTTACGCTACAATGTTCGTTTAGATATCAAAAAATAGCTGAAATTTAGGGCTATTTTTTTGATACCAAAGAACGCATCGTAACATAAAGTTCGGCATCGAACGAGCGACGTTCAATGAGAAACAACTGGTTTAACTAAAATGGTAACTAAAACCTTAAACTCTAGAAAATCCCAGCTCCTTTTTCTTTCACGAAAATTACCTCAACCAAATTTCGAAGCTGTTTCCTCGTGATGAACAAGAAATCGGATGCAATCAGTGTTATGGGGACATCCTCCTTTTCCGGCGAAAAACTTTCTCTCAACTTTTTGCCTAAAAAAAGATAACTTAATTTCCAAGTCACCAAGTCCTTTGGGTCATATGGGAGCAAGAGCAAGAATTTATTTCAATTCAGAGAAGAATGAGGAATCGAATTCCAAAGGAAATTATAGATGATCGCGAAATTTTCCAAAAAACTTTGCTTTCACTTTAAAATTTATCTTTATCATTTTATCAAAAAGTGAACGAATTTTCGAGAGCTTATAGCTAAGAAAGTTATATTGGGTTGATGCATAATTATCCGGACTTCTTTTTGCGTGCTTGTATCTTTTTTGTTTTGAAAGCTTTTTGTCTATTTCTTTTTTTTAAATATTCGTTATTCTTTAGTGAACAAAATGCGTGTCGACAATCATATCCATCTTCGCCATATCATGCTCTACCACTTCGAAAAGGGATGGTCTGCCGCAGAGTCGTTTCGCGATCTCAAAGAACTTTTTGGTCAAGGAACAATTGGACGTGCAACAGTTTATGAATGGTTCGATCGTTTCAAGTCCGGTAACACAAGTGTTGATGATGAACCAGGAAGAGGACGGCCATCAGAATTCGATGACAAGGCACTTCTGGAAGCCGTTGAAGAAGACGAAAGCCTGACAACCAGAATGCTGGCAGATGAATTCAATGTTGACCAGTCAACGATCGTGCGCCATCTCAAAAAGCTTGGCAAAGGCACGACATGGCACGTTGAGCGCCATGTCGTCGAATCCATCGCTAGTAAGGGCTGGGATCTTCTTCCACACCCGCCATATTCTCCTACTGAAGCCCCAACGGACTACCACGTCAATCGATCGCTCAAAAATTGGCAAACAAATAAGATCTACAACGATTTGGATGACTTGATAGACGATGTTAAAGCGTGGATTGCCTCCAAAGATCGTTTATTCTTCGCTCGTGGAATCGGTCGTCTTCCAAGCAAATGGCAATCAGTTATTGATGTAGGCGGTGAATATGCTCCAGAATAATCAATTAAACATATTTTTCTAACTATTTATGTTATTTTTTGTTAAATAAAATCATTTATAAAAGAAGTCCGGATAATTATGCATCAACCCAATAGTTTCTAAAGCTTAGTCCGAATCTTTTCTAAGCTTCATTTTTTTCTTTTGAAACCTATCAACTGTCAATCAATATTAACTGAACACTAGAGATCCTTATGTCCTTTTAGAAATTCGTAAAAATGCATCGCAGATGTTCAGAGTGAATATTGTAATAGAATTTCTTACACTTTCACGTTATTAAGACTTAGATAAGACCTAGACTTGGATAAGACCAGGATCAGGATGTTCAGAGATTATCAAAAGTTGCCACAGTGAACGAATTTTCGAGAGCTTATAGCTAAGAAAGTTATACCTTTTGTTTTTTGGAACGTGAAACTTTTGGAACGCACTGTAGTTTCTAAAGCTTAGTCCGAATCCTTTCTAACCTTCATTTTTTCTTTTGAAACCTATCAACTGTATTCGATTGTTTATTTACAAAATAAATCAAAATCTATTTACAAAAAATAAATCATTTTCTCAATAAAGCTTCTAATTTTAGTCATAATAATGTTTTCAAAAGCTTTTCTTTTTCTTTTTCTTTTTCTTTTTCTTTTTGCAATCCATCCAGAGCATCAACTTTTCCAAAATTTGATTTAAAATAAAATTATTTTATTAAAAGAGATCTGTTTGGGATTTAAAATTCGAATTTGAAAAAACTAAAAATGCCATTTTGTAAAGCGTATCTGAATTGACTAGAATTCAATCCTAACTAGAATCCAAAAACTTCAAAAATGAAGTTAGAATTGGATTCTAGCCAATTCAGATTAGAATGTGTTCCTATCGGATAATGCGTTTTCTAAAACGCACCTATCGTAGTCAAACCCGTTAGTTTACATGCAATCAATCCAATTTTGGTACCATTCGATGAGGAATTATAAGCCTCAATCAATGATACCCAAATCGGATTGATTGCATTTAAACTAACGGGTTTGACTACGATAGGTGCGTTTTAGAAAACGCATTATCCGATAGGAACACATTCTAATCTGAATTGACTAGAATCCAACTCTAACATCATTTTTTAATACATGTGATTTTGATTTTCAGGTAAAAAGGGAACTCACGGTACTGAAGATTCGTATTTCCTTCTTTCTTTCTTTCTTTCTTTCTTTCTTTCTTTCTTCCTTTCTTCCTCCTCCTTGTCTTTCCTTCTTTCTCTTGAGAAGTTAATGTACTAGATAACTCAGCGGTTAGAACAATGGAAGCCTGGAAAGCCTGGAAAGCCGTTCAAGCTTCAAGCGTTCAAGCGTTCAAGCGTTCAAGCGTTCAAGCGTTCAAGCTTCAAGCGTTCAAGCGTTCAAGCGTTCAAGCTTCAAGCGTTCAAGCGTTCAAGCGTTCAAGCTTCAAACTTCAAGCGTTCAAGCGTTCAAGCTTCAAGCTTCAAGCGTTCAAGCTTCAAGCGTTCAAGCGTTCAAGCGTTCAAGCTTCAAACTTCAAGCGTTCAAGCGTTCAAGCTTCAAGCTTCAAGCGTTCAAGCTTCAAGCGTTCAAGCGTTCAAGCTTCAAGCGTTCAAGCGTTCAAGCTTCAAGCTTCAAGCGTTCAAGCGTTCAAGCAAGCCATCAAATCCACTAACAGTTTAGAGGGTGTAAATGTGATTGGAAAGAAAAGGATTAGTCGGAGATTGATTTGGAGAAGTTTAGGCGATATTTGGCTTTAAATGAATGCTTAGATGATTGAGCAAAAATCAAAGTTTACGTGCTATATTTGATTACGTGATTTGCGAAACTTTTCTTGGATACTCTATCGTTTTTATACTCTATTGTTACTATCTCTATCGTTTTTTTTTAAAAGAAGACTTTCTCTAAGCATTCATTTAAAGCCAAATATCGCCTAAACTTCTCCAAATCAATCTCCGACTAATCCTTTTCTTTCCAATCACATTTACACCCTCTAAACTGTTAGTGGATTTGATGGGGCTGAATGGGTTGACCCCATCTCTCCTTTTTCTCTTCTTCTTCTCTTCTTTATTTCTCCTCGAGATTCCCCCAAACAGGATACCCATTGCCAATTTGAGGGCATTGTGCTGAAGCCATTTCTTTCAGTGTTTGCTTGTGTTTCATTCATTTTTTTTCCTTTGGTCAAACATTGTTACTTAAAAGTTGTTGGATTTATCTCAAAAACAAAATCTAAGGGTTATGGCCAGCTACTGTAGTAAAGTTTTATCGTTTTCGCTAAATTTGAATTTGCAAAACTTTATTCTAAGCTTTAAATCGGATAGGCGCTTGGTTACTCAATTTACTGTAAACCAAGTCCATCATATTTGATCGTTAGTTTAGAAATCGATCAAATCGAATCAAAATCACAAGGATTTCTATCGCCAAACCCAGCCAAACCTAAATAGACATAAATATGCACTATCTACTGTAATCCAGTCTATTTATGACAAATTATAGTAGCTAGAGCACCGTTCAAGTGATCCTTGCCTTTCCTTCTTTCTCTTGAGAAGTTAATGTACCAGATAGCTCAATGGTTAGAACAATGGAAGCCTGGAAAGCCTCGTAACTAGGATTTCGATCTTTTTGCAAGAATCGCTAGAGCAAAGTTGGATTGTCACTATTTTTGCGCCTCTCTCTAAACTTTAAGCCTTTAGTTCGCTTTTTGCTCGCTTCAAAAGCTTTAAATTAAACTATTAGCCTACAAATTCTATAGAAACCGACACGGAGAATCGATTGGTGATGGTTAGAAGTTTAGAAAGTTAGAAGTTTAGAAGTTTAGAAGTTAGAAGTCTCCTGGATAAAGGCTAACTGTCAAAAAAAACCTCTATTTCCTCTAAATTCTCTCACAAAAATGCAAATAGTTAACGAATAGTTAAGCTAAACGAAAAGTGAACACAATTCCCTTTATTCAAATGATATGTCAAAGGATTCTTCTCATTCTCATTTCACTTCTTCTTTGCTTTCTCTGATTTCCATTGACGCACATTTTGACGGCTTTTTTTTCTACTAAAAGCATCCACCTTATGAAAGCTATGAAAGTGTGAGATTGAAAGCGGATAGCCTTCTTTGCTTCCAATGGAGAACCCTCATTTCCCCCGAAAAAAACCTTCACTTCTTCTCTAAAATAGTAAAATTTGTTAGACAATTCTTAGAAGACAATTCTTTCCCTACTAGACTGCTCAAAAAGCACGTTCAGACTCAATTTCTGACAAATTTCTGACAAAATTCTGCACGACAACGTGAAATTTGAGACAAGTTATAAGAAAGGAGGCAAATTTTTTTGCTTTTTGCTTGCTTTTCTTTTGCTTGCTTTTCTTTTGCTTGCTTTTCTTTTGCTAAAAACATTTCCCACGTTTTCTTCATTATCTTTTTATTAAGCTTATCCACTTTTTTCATTCATAAATCCAACGATTTCCGAGGTTTTCTTGCAACTTTCTTTTCAGAGATCTAATCTAAAAAGTTTCATGTAAATCTTTGGTTAGAGCATTCATTAAGATCTTTTTTCGCTTTCTTTTCACACTTCCAAAAGGCTTTCTGATCGATTTTTATCGAATAATCTTTATCGAATCTTATTAGGTTGACCGGAAAGTTTTTTCCGGTTTTTGCACTTTTTATTTTACGATAGATCTAACTTTTGATTTTACGCATCAAAAAACGCCAAAAACAGAATTTATCTACTTTCACCGTCAACATCAATAACATCCTGCCACTTATCCGGCAACAAATAGATTCTCCGCGGCGTTAAAACTCACGTGGCTTCGAATCGAAAAACTGAGTGAGTGACAAAGCGCATTTCCTCGACATTTTGAAAGATCTTTCCACTCAAATGATGCTCCAGAGACCTGAAAAAATGATAATCGGACGATTCGGGACAAAATACCTGAACAGATGAAAGTCCGATGGTGCGCTTGTCACTCACTCAGCTTTTCGATTCGATGCCACGTGAGTTTTACCGCCGCGGAATCTATTTGTTGCCGGATAAGTGGCAGGATGTTATTGATGTCGACGGTGAATATTTCGAGTAGATAAATTCTGTTTTTTTTTTATTTGGCGTTTTTATTAAATTCTGTTTTTCTGCCATTTCATAGCAACTGATCCAATTAAGACCACACTTGCTCCAATTTAACCCTAGAATTTATAGGGCAAGTCAAAAGCCAAAATAGGTCCATAACTAGCTTTGATTCAGTAAGAATCAGGAACCAGGAACAGAAAGAATCTGGAACCAGAACCAGGAACCAGAACCAGGATCAGGTTCTGGTCAGACAAACTTAACCAGAGCCTGATCCTGGTCTTATCTAAGTCTTAATAACGTGAAAGTGTAGGAGAATCTATTCCAATCTTCACCGTAAATATTCTAATAGAAGAACCAAAACAGTTCCAAGAACTAAAGCTTACAAATCTCTTTAAATCATCCTCAAAGCTAGTTCTCAGCATTCATAATCTTTCCTCAAGCTTGACTCAAAAAGAAGCAAAGATTTCCTTCCGATTATGCGAGGATGGGGATTTCTCTTGTGTTGTAGATGTTCTTTTCTCTATTTTCTCTTTTTTCTCTTTTTTCTTCAGTTCAAAATCTTTCTCTATTGGGTGGTCTGAGGTTGCAGTTTTTGGGGAGTGTCCCTAGGGGAGACTCTCCCCGCCATTGCCTTGTCCTTTTCCTTTCAGATCCATGGATCTCTCTCTCTCTCTCCACAAACAACGAGCAGCTAACTTTTATCGACAACCTCTTCCGTCTTTTTTCGTCTTCGTTTTCCAAATCTGTCCCTAAACCTATTATCGAGCAATTAGGCTTGATTTTTGCTAATTCTGCTGTCAACTTTTCAACAACTTTTCGTTCTCGTGTCCTTGAGCCGATTTCTCACTCTTGGACTTACCGTTGTGCCATGATGGAGTCGTTGTAGACTGAACTCTTTCTTGGCTGAGATCCAGTGGGCCTTTAGGCCTTTAAATCACATTGCTTCATTACCTAGTCCCACCTTGATATGGGAAAATTCCAACCCGAACCTAATTCAACTTTCGTTTTCTTGGCCGATTGCTTTTCTCTTTGATTTTCAAAGTTTACATTTGAAAAGACTGAGATTTGTCAAGCTCATTTTTTCAATTTAAAGTTTTCTGAAGCTTCCTAGCTGATTTTAAAAGTTTTTTTAGCTAATTTTGTTCTTTATTTGGTGTAAAACTGAAAGAATTCTTGTCATTTCGCATTTAAGAATTGCTCATTTCTCATTTTTTTCGCATTTCTTTTCTAATTATCAAAAGAATTCGATAAAAAAATACGAAATTAACATATAGCTCAAGAAATTTGCATTTTAATAGGTTGATGCATAAGTCTTTTCGTTTTTTTCGTACTTTTGTTAAAAAGTAACAAATATTCACCAATTAATCTATAGTTTGCTCTATAAAAAAAGTGTTTTTTTTGTTCAATTTGCATCTTTTTAAATGAATTTCGGTTCACTTTCAAGCAAATTCGAGAGTGAAAAACGCCTTTTTCGTAAAAATCTATAAAAAACTCTACGGAAAAATTGGCTGAATGAATTTCTCTGAAATTTTGGCGAAATATCAAACGTTTTTTTTCTCTATCTTTTATCTATTGACACGAAGATAGGTTTTCTTTAGCTAAGGTGTCTAAACCGCATCATCGAGTTAGCCCTTTTTGACTACCCGACTTCATACTCTCAAGAAAATCCAGGCATTAAATATTTTTAAACCCGTTTTAATGTTATTTTGCAGAAAAATAATTGCTTTTTCTAATGAAATCAACCGTAGTTTAATTGGTGCATTTGTTGGCTTGAAACGGCAGACGAAAAGGAACAAAAAGACTCATGCATCAACCTAATAAATTCAAATTTTCTGAGAAATTGTCTAGAAAATTGGCTAGAAAATTGGCTAGAAAATCGACAAGAATCCCAGATTCACTTGTCGTTTTCCATGATCATTCTACGATCATTTAAATCCAAAATTTAATGACTAATGTAAAATGACAATGAAAATCGACAAAAAACCCCTAAAAACCATCTTTTCTTTCACAAATTAGCTATTTATTTTCAAAAAACGAACTTAAAAACTCCAATATTGCGATCCTAAACATTTTCAGCTTTCTTTTATGCTTGATTTTCTTGTTTTTACGCAATATAGCATATAGAGTCCATGTTTTTCATAAAATAAACAATCTCGTTTTACTCTTTGACCTAACGTTTCCTTTTTCGCATTCATTTCAATATTGCTTTCTTCTAGAAATGCGGTAAACAATCGAGAAAATCCGCTGAAAATGTCGGCGGTTGTTTCACGACTTTTGGCTTTTGTCGGCATCCCGACTGGGGAGCAAATCGAGCGCGAACCTGACCCTGATCCCGATAGTTTTCTCATATTTGTCTGTAATCTTGGTGAGTTTAAGAATTGCTTAGCAAACTATTCAATTTACATTTAAGAGTTATATTTAAATGGTAACGAAAAAGAAGATAAAGGTGAATACAGGGGTTCGAATCCAAATCAAGTCAGTTGCAGACAAGCGCGCTCCCGCCTCCGCCAAGGGGACAACGCTTACGAGCCAGAAAAACTCCCTTAGGTCTTTCGGCTGGTTTATTTGAGCCTATACTGTTTGATCAAGATTGACCTTACCTAGAAATCTTGATGAGTTTAAGAATTGCTTAGCAAACTATTCAATTTACATTTAAAAGTTATCTTTAAATGGTAACGATGGTTTATTCGCGAATTGAGAAAACTTCCCTAGTAATTTGACTCGATTTTCGATGAACAGATGACCGTGTGGCTAATAAATAAACAAACCAATAAAGCTAAACCTTTAGAAAACCTTAGAATAAATTGTAGTTATGGCATTGAAAATAAAAAATGAAAAAACTGATGTCGAGTATTCGAATGCGGTTCGAACCAGGACCCTGTGAGCCTTAGCGAAGAGCCCTCCCGACTGCGCCAAAGTCCCACAAACGTCGGGGCTAGAAGAAGCCGTTAGGTTTTTCGGGTGGTTGTTTATATCAAAGATCTTTACTCTTTTTATCCTCATCTAGTAATTTGTCTCGCTTTTTAACCAACCCGGTGGATGACCGTGTGGCCTAATGGATAGGGCGTCGGACTTCGGATCCGAAGATTGCAGGTTCGAGTCCTGTCACGGTCAAAACTTTTACTTTTTCGACTTGCTGTAAACTGTAAACAACAGTTTAACAGTACTGTAAACAACACCGGTTCTTTTAAGCCCAATTTTATATCCTTTTCTATCTCAAACATTATGCTAGTTTGACAAGTAGCCAAGAAGCTAGAGAAGTTGAGGAAAAAGAAGAATGATCAATGTTGGGCGGAAGTGGGCGCTTGTCTAGTGTCCCTCCGACTTCAGACAAACGACCAGTGCGTGACCCATCCAAAAAAAAAAAGTTCTTTCCAATTTTTCCCTTTGTTGCAAGGAGAAATTAATCCTTTGCTCAAGAATTGGTCGACAATTATATATGAAGTATTGCCTGAATGGAAAATTGTAGAGCGCAGCGATATGTTAAAGAAAAACTAAAATTGTGAAAGCTAGTGTAGAAAATGAAAACAGTTTTAGCGTTAAAATAAGATAAGCTAAGAATTTATCTACTTGGGTTGGGACTATGACTCAGCGGCAAACTTTAAAGACACTTTTTGCACGCATAAAGCCTCTTTAAATATACGCTTCATCAAAAGAATCCACTATTCTCTACAAAGCCCTTTGAGAGATTCCACAAAGCTTTTCTTTCATGGAGTTTATGAACGTCCAAACGCAGCTGATCAAAATGGCAAAGAGTCCGACTCATCGTTTGAACAGTTTCTTCCACATGCTTGTGTAAAAGATAGAGCACATTCAATTACATAAGGCCAAATTTGGGAAGATCCCTCCAACCGTTTTTCTAGTGCACTTTGTGTTTTTGTGAAAAAATGGCCTTTTCTTGAGCTGAGGCGCTGTTTGAGTTTTCCTTTAAATGTCATTTTGTAGAGAATTAGTTAACTTTTCTACTGATATCAAACGCGTATTATTTGACGAAGTCTGCTAGAAGTTTTAGAAATTTTTTTGATTTTCGGCGCCGAGTCATAGTCCCCAACCCAATACTTGGAATTAGTTTTGGCGTCAAAATCAGCTCAGGCTGAACTTATGGACTTGAAAAATAGATTTGAATCGAGTTTAGACAAAATCTAGACTAATATTGTTTTTTTAACTAGTACAGGTACGAAAAAGAAAAAGAAAGTGAAGAAAAAGATCAGAGGAAAGGAGAAAAGCTATAGACAATTCCAAAATTTCGAAAATTCAGCCACTTCCCGATCAGCGTCGACTTGTTCATCAGCCTCTGCAGCTCCAGGCTTCATTCTAAACGATGAACCAATCACATTATTCCGCTTGGAGTTGGAAAGACTTCAATACATCGTACATTTCCCTGAAGAAGTCGCCTATCAAGTTAGATTCTTATCAAAAAAAAGTAAAAAATGAAATTTCCAGTTGTCCCTCACCGAGTACCAGCTTTTCTATTCGATTCAACCGATGGAATACGTGCGTTATGTGAGCTGTGATCTCACCTCCGTGCCCGTCACTGACAATCCGTCACCAGTGAAGACGCTAGTGAAGAGGTTGAGTGAGGTGAGTGATTCAAAAACATTTACAGACTATCCAGGCTAAGCTAGCAAGACCAAAACTAGGTCAGAAGACAGAACTGGCTTCTGGACTATGATCCAGACTATGACCCGGATCTGAACTATGATCCGGATCCGGTTTTCTACGCAACGATACAAAGAGCGTAAAGTAGACTACGCGACACTCCAATAGAGAGTTAACGCCGTGTAGGCATCTAGGAGTGTCACATAGTCACGTAAAGTCTACTTTACGTTCTTTGTATCGTTGTGTAGAGATCTGGATCTGAACAGCGCTATTGCCCAGACTCCAGGTCCAGCGAGAACATAGAAATGGCTTTGGGCAATCCTGTTTTCAACAATCAGTCACTTTAATTCTTTCCGTTTTAGGTCTCTTCTTGGGTCACTCATTTGATCGTCTCACAACCGACACACGATGATCGAAAAGCTACACTAAACGCGATTCTCCGAATCATCGAAACTTGCTGGAATATTGGTAGCTTTTAGTAGAGTAAGATTGCCAGATTGGTTGCCTGATTTTCAAGATACTAAATTCCAAACCTCTAGGAAACTTCAATGGAGCCGTTGAGATTTTGATGGGGTTAAAGTCGGAAAAGTTGCGGCCATTTTGGTTAAGTTTGAGAAGTGAGGAAAAGGAGCAATTTGAAATGGTTTGTCTTATAAATATCTGACTTCAATACGAGTTTCTCTTTGAGTTTTGTGATATTCTCTTGCCGGGTACCCATGTTCTTCCCTCACAAGCTTACATGCAAGCCGTTCAACGGGCATTGAGAATGACACAATGTCGAGTCATCCCATTCTTCGGCATTTTCTTGAGGTTTTTGTTGTTATTGAGCTATTGTTGAGCTGAAATTTGCATATAATTTCATTTTCAGAGATCTCTATGCAATCGTCAATGACATGCCAAATATCGTCGTCATCGGACATGCTGGAGAAAAGGAGAAGCTCGAGGTGAGTGTTCCCATATCTAGTAGTTTGACTCGCTTTTTAATCGCCCTGCTAGATGACCGTGTGGCCTAATGGATAAGGCGTCGGACTTCGAATCCGAAGATTGCAGGTTCGAGTCCTGTCACGGTCGAAACTTTTACTTTTTTGACTTTTTAATTTGATTGGGTTAATTAACTGGTTTGACGATAGCTTTATAAAATAAATGCCTTTTAGAAAAGCAATCTTGGCTATATCAATAAGGATATAGCAATTTTCTTCTGTAGCTCTGTCAGCAATACGTTCGCCTCTATGTAAGAGAGCTCGACTTGTTTGAGAGACTTTACTTGTTTTTTTTTGAAGAATTTTCCCTATTTAAACTTGGAAATCTTTCCCATCTTTCCCAACAATTTTATCAAATAAATTCGAATTTAGTTTATGAATGATGCAAATGGAGAAGATCATTTCTCGTCGCGAATCGGTGTCGGCGGTTTACTCAACGCTGATAAGATCAACCTGGTGGCCATCGTTTTAGACAATCTCGAGCTTTTTCATCGACATGGGTAAACTTTGAAACGTTTTAGAAACGTTTAACGTTATAAATTTTCAAAAACACTATAAAGAAGTGAAGGAATTGGTAAGAAAAGGTGGATTTCTGGAGAGGGGATTGAACCATTGACCTGGAGAGGGAATTGAACGGCTTTCCAGGCTTTCCAAGCTTTCCAAGGTTTCCATTGTTCTAACCATTGACCTGGATAGGGAATTGAACGCCTTCCAGGCTTTCCAAGCTTTCCAAGCTTTCCAAGCTTTCCAAGCTTTCCAAGCTTTCCAAGCTTTCCAAGCTTTCCAAGCTTTCCAAGCTTTCCAAGCTTTCCAAGCTTTCCAGGTTTCCATTGTTCTAACCATTGACCTTTTCTTGTCCACTGAAAACTGCTTTCCAATTACTCTCACCATTGAGCTATTTAGTACCTTAATTTGCCAAAAGAAAGAGGTAAAACCAAAGGGGAAAAGAAAGAATTCAAAGCTTCAAACTGTTCTAGTTTAAAATTTGAATTGTCACTTTGTTTGAATGTTTGTTAAAAATGCTCAAGTGATGGAAATGTAGGCTATTGTTAGATCTAGTAAAAATACTCAAATTGCAGTGAAATACTCAGCTTTTGAATCAAGTTCTTAAGCCAGATTTCAAAAAAATGAAACATCTAACAATAGCCTAAATTTCTTAATTACTTATATAGTTTAAAAAATAAAGATTTAACTCATCGTGTACATTTCGTTCATTCAATTGTTTCGTTCATTTCGTTTCGTTCATTCAATCACCACCATTATTTCCATTTCAGCCGTTCTCTCAACAAACTCCTCGAAATCGAATCCCCCACAAATCCCGTTCCCGCGCCGATCGTTGAAGAGCAAAAAGAGATTAAGAGTTAATCTTTAAAACCTTAATTTTCTCATTTTTTTGTCTACAGCTTATGAGCCGGTGCAATCAGTGGTAAACTCAGCACACAGTGTCACTTTGATTCCGTTAACTTCACAATTATTCGATCTCGATGTTCTACAACGACTCCATCATGGCACAACGGTAAATTCAACAAAAAAACGTTAACAGATTATAGTTTATATGCGAATTCGTTAACCTTATCTAGTAATTTGACTCGATGACTTAATCAACCAAACAGATGATCGGGTGGCCTAATGGATAAGGCGTCGGACTAGTAATTTCATTCAATTTTCGATGAACAGATGATCGTGTGGCCAATAAATCAAAAACCAATAAAGTTAAAACCTTAGAATAGATTGTAGTTGTGCGATTGAAAAGAAAAAATGAAAAAACTAAAGTCAAGTGGCACTACGGGGTTCGAACCCGGACCCTGTGACGCTTAGAGAAGAGCCCTCCCGACTGCGCCAAGGTCTCCCAAATTGCCAAGCTAAAAAAACCCGTTAGGTTTTTCGGGTGGTTGTTTAGATCAAAAATCCTTGATCAAATTATCCTTATCTAGTAATTTGACTCGATTTTTAATCAACCAAGCAGGTGACCGTGTGGCCTAATGGATAAGGCGTCGGACTTCGAATCCGAAGATTGCAGGTTCGAGTCCTGTCACGGTCGAAATTTTTCGTTTTTTTAACAAGTTTCATGTAAACAACAAGGTTTCGGATAAACAACAATATTTAATTTCAAACTCAATTAGTTCTATAGTTCTAGTTTTGATCAAAGATCAAGTCAAGAATTCAGGTGATTCACTATGATCCGGACACTGGTCGATCAGTCCTTTGCCTGATGCGATTAGAGGCTTCTTGCTCAACAATCACTTGGAAAAAGATCTCGTATTCGACGGCAAAAGAAGGAAAAGATAAAAATAAGGTAGAAAATCGATTAGGTAAAAGAAAAATAAGCGATTTTTAGGATGGTCAAATGGGCAAAAGCATGTCTGGAGTGTCATCAGTGGCTGGTGGATCGGGAGTCGGTCAGATGACTCCAGCGAGCGCGAATCAAAGGGCAGCTGGTAGTGTTTTCATAAAAAGTCACATAAATTTCGATTTAAATCTTTTGCTGAATGAAAAACACAAGCACAATAACGGCTCTTTTCTTTTATTTGATAGGAATTTACAGAGTGCTTAGAGATCGTCCAAAACAGTTCGTTCTAGGCGTATATCTCTGTTATTTGTAGAGAAAAACGATTGATTTCTTTTTTTAAAATGAAAATTCATATCATTTTCTGTATCTATGCAAGATTTCATGATCATAGCATTAATAGAAAATTTTTTATGAAAGATTAAAAATAGCAGCTCAAAAAAAATAACGAGCCGAAATTGAAATTTGGGATTTTTAAAGTAAAAACCTCATAAAATAACTGCTTTCTTTGCAGTTTTTTTTTCGAAAAACAAAGCTTTTCTTATGTTTAAGTAGATTTAGCTGAAAGAAATGTTAAATTCGTTAATATTTTCCTAAAAAAAGATCGATAAAGGAATCCTGAAATTTGAGTGATTTTTTGAGCTGCTATTTTTAAGCTTTCATAAAAAATTTTCTATTAATGCTATGATCATGAAATCTTGCATAGATACAGAAAATGATATGAATTTTCATTTTAAAAAAAGAAATCAATCGTTTTTCTCTACAAATAACAGAGATATACGCCTAGAAAAAAGGAAGCCGGATTTCTGGTCATTCTGAACATTTTGCTTAAGTTTTATGCTGAATCCACAATCACAAGCAACTTCGTTTTGCTTGAAAAGAATTGCAAACAATTCATGAATAAGATTTCAGCTTTCCCGGTCGGTTTGGATGAAGGAGAGATTCGTTTGAGCAATGTGAAAACGGTGGAACCGGTTGACAGCTACGATTTGGACATTGAAGCAATCTATCGACGACACTCGGCCGAGGAAATGTCCGTGCCCGTTAGCTGTTGGAAGGTCAGTTTATTCAGAAATGTCATTAAAAATATGAAAGAAGAGAAGGTGAATACGGGGGTTCGAATCCAAATCAAGTTAGTTGTAGACAAGCGCGCTCCCGCCTGCGCCAAGGGGACAACGCTTACGAGCCAGAAAAACTCCCTTAGGTCTTTCGGCTGGTTTATTTGAGCCTACTCTTTGATCAAATTATCCTTATCTAATAATTTGAGTCGATTTTTAACCAACCAAACAGATGACCGTGTGGCCTAATGGATAGGGTGTCGGACTTCGGATCCGAAGATTGCAGGTTCGAGTCCTGTCACGTTCGAAAGTTTTGGTTTTTTGACTTTTTAACAATCTTGATGTAAACAACAACGGCTTTTAAGCGATGTAAACGATCAACAATCAAGTTTAGTGGTTTTTGTTTCAGATTTCCCATGGACAACTGCTTTGTGACAACGATTTTCTCTTCTTCTTGGCTCCGCAACAAATCTCTCAGTATTGGACAATTGGACTTGCCGCCGTCGTGAAAGCCTATCAACAACAGCAACGTTTCGCGGATCGACGAATGTTGTGGATTAAGACACTCTATCTACAACTTTACAACGTTAGTTTACAAAGGGGATAACTAGGGTAATAAACAGCTTTATATGGTTGAAATCTGTCAAAACTTGACGTTCTTGGTCAATTTTTTCCATTGGAAGTTGCTTTTTAGCTGCTTGTAGATAGCTGATTGTAGTTTAGCTGCTTGTAGACACTCTAAATTTTATAGATTCCGTAAGATACTTGAGCTTTAGTTGCTTTTGAATGTATATGTTAGATCCGTTATTGAATTTCAAAACTGGAAATCCGTTTTTGAATCTATTCTATTGAATCTATTCAATAACGGACATGCGGTTCTGAATCGAAAGCCCGTTTTTGAATCGGCAAAACAGTAGCGGAATCCCATTGAGCTCTGGTCAAAGCATTTGGGAATGATAGGAATGATGCCTAAGCCTAAGCCTAAGCCCAAGCTTAAACCTAAGCCTAAGCCTAAGCCTAAGCCTAGGCCTAAGCCTAAGCCTAAGTCTAAGCCTAAGCCTAAGTCTAAGCCTAAGCCTAAGTCTAAGCCTAGGCCTAGGCCTCAACAATTTCCAAAATTTCCTAATAAATTCTCGAAACAAAGGCATTTCTTTTCTTTTGTTTATTGTTTATTTTTCTTTTTCTTTTGATCTTTTGATTATCTATTATCAAATTTCAAAATTGATTAGCAAAAAACGATCGAAAACAAACAAAATCAGCACAACTTATCAAAAGATTAAATAAAGAAAAAGAAATGCAATGCAATAGAAATTCAAGTTAATTAGGCTTCAAATTATGAATAGAAATAGAAATTTATACTTGCTAACTTGCAAAAATCATAGAACAAAAAAAAAAGACAAAAAAGAAAACAAAAAACGTTAAAGAGTAGATAGAATGATTCAAAAACGGACACAAAATATAGACTTTAAACCTTAAATTTCCAGGAATGCTCACCAACAATCGACTCTGATGGGCAAAAGTTGATGGGACCTCGACCATATGATGCTTTAATGGCATTTGGAGGGAAAGTCGAGCGATGGAAGGGCCTTGGTTTGTTAAAATATTTGAAAACATGATAATGCTGATTAGCTGTTTAGCTGATTAGCTAATAATTAGCTAGAAAAGTCGAAGAAAAACTTTAGCTAGAGAAATTTATGCAAAATAGCCTTTTTCTTCTCTAGTCACCGGCGATCCACGTGCGATTTCCCGATCGAAATCGGTGACTCTCGTTTTTCGGAGATCCCAGAAGAGTGTCAAAGGTTTTAGAATGGCAAAAGAATTGAAATGAATGGCTTGTAGCTTTCCAAAGACTTTCTTCTTTCTTGCGAAAATTTCCCTTAAAAAATCTTTTTGAGTTTCTCGAAATGTGAATGGCTTTTTGGGTAAAAGGCTTAAATCACATTTCAAACAAATCACTTTAGGAATCAATCAATGCGCACCGAGCTCTTCAAGGCCACAAGATTCATTGTCGACGAGTGATTTGTCAAGCACGAGAAACAAGTGGGTCACGAGGGAAATCGGATTGCAAATATTATTATTTACACGAAAAATGGCACAATTGTGGCACAAACAATAGAGAAGCACGAAAAACTTGTATATCTGGGAAAAAGAACCGATCTAGGCGATCTAGCCGGCGAGATTGAACCCTTAATCTCTTAACTAAGGGATCTTAGCCGTATAAGGCCTTACTAAGGCCTTACTGAGGCCTCATAGGGCCCTTAGCCAGTCGACCATGACCACCTTTTAACCAGTCAGCCAAACAGGGTTTACTAAGCATCAAGAAATCTCAATACTCTACCGTAAATACTCTAATAGTACTCCACCGCCCTCGTACAGTCGCGTAGTCGCAAATGCTTTTCTGTATTTCATTTTTTTCTTTTCTTCTTTTTTTTTTTTTTTTCAAAGCGCCCGTACTTTCAAAAAATGCGTCTTTGGTATCAAAAAATAGCCCTGAATCTCAGCTATTTTTTGATACCTAAGCGCGCATTGTAGCATAAACCAGTGTCGAGAAAAACTTTTTTCGGAATTGTTGCATAGTCTAACTTTAAACATCCCGTTCTCCACGCTGCTTTATGCTACAATGCGCGCTTAGGTATCAAAAAATAGCCCTGAATCTCAGCTATTTTTTGATACCTAAACGAGCATTGTAGCATAAACCAGTGTCGAGAAAAACTCGTTCAAAACTAGACTACGCAACACTCCGCACCGTCATTATCGGGGTGGGGTACTATTACAGTATTTACGGTCAGTATTTCAGTTCCAATCCAAGTTCCAATCAAATGGTGACTACAATAGTAACTATCGTTACGCAAGTTTTAGACTTGTCAAAAGTTTCCGGAGTTGATTCTTCCAAGACTTTAGACACTATTGGACTACCGTAGTTCTACAGTCTTTCTACAGTAGTTTCTTCAGTATTCAACACTACATTAGCCCGTACTCATCGTCAGAGAAGGACAAGAGTAGTAGTATTCTTATCTACTCCCAAATTTCCCAACCCTGTAACTCCTGTAAACTAAAAAACAAGTAAGGCCAAAAACAAGTCTTAATCCAAATCAATTTATCATCAATCAATCAATCTAAGGCCTTTTTCTCTTACTAGGGAAAGGCACGAACTTAAGATGAGCTTTGTCTGGACACTCATCAGAAAAACGAAAACAAAAAGCTGCATCACGGACTGAAACCTGGGCGGAAGCCTAATTTGTTATCCACTAGGCCACCAACGTAACTTTTATACACTAGAAAGGAGCCTTTTAAAGCGTCCGTTTTAACGCCAAATTTTCGATTGTTTAGGCAAGACTTGGACTTGTAAAAAGTCTCAGGGATTTACAGGATTCAGAGGACTTTAGACACTATTAAACTACCATAGTTCTACAGTAGAACATGGAAATTCATTTGGGAGATTTTGATTTCAGTTTCGGAGTTGATATCCCATTCTATAAGATGTGCAGACAAAAGCTCATGATTTCTCCAGTCCTCGACAGTCATCTCCAGTCCTCGACAGTCCTGGGACATCTTCAGTCCCGCAGTTTTCAATTCACCAACCCAATAGCTAGCTTCAACTAGCACATTTCTAGAAAACCCAATTGCAAACACAAAAATCATCAACGAAAGCTTTTGCATAGGGTTTTAAGAGCTCACTTTTTCATTTCCCAATTTCTTTCCCCGTCAAATTTCTATTCAGAGTCCGGGCGACAAGTGTACGGTAAGTTGTCCACGTTTTTTTTTTTCTGAACTGTATGCAATCTTTTGTCTCCAAAGCATATTTTCAAAACATTTTTGTTCAAATTTTCTCAGCTTCACAAATCCCCTATGCTTGTGTGAAAAAGAAACTCTCAACGTGGGCATAGAATAGAGCTTTTAATGGGGAAATTTGATAATTTCATTTTTGATTTCATTTTAGGATCAAGAACTTCAAAACAGCGGTGAGGAATAAGCTGAGAGGAGCGTCCAGAGATGCGAGCAGATCACAGAGTCCACAACCACCCAGTCCATTGGTGAGTTTTCTGAATTGTCAATCTCTTCTTCTTCTTCTCTTTCTATTCTTCTTTACTTCTCTTCTCTTCTCTTTCTATTCTTCTTTCCTTCTCTTCTCTTTCTATTCTTCTCTCCAAATCAAGTCCAATCAAGTCCAATGATTTTAAAGCTTGTCCTTACTCCATCAGAATCCGAATTCAATCTTTCAGGTCCGACCACCATCCATCAAATCCCAGCTCTCATTAACATCCGGCCCAGCCGCACCCACCTCACCCGGATTTCTGCTGAAACCGCGAGAGACTCGAGAAAGTGAAACAGGAGATGCTGACAGTATCTACACACCGAGAAGTCGCACACCAACATCATCAAGTTATGGAGGTAAGTCTTGTAGCCACCATAGCCGATATTGTAGCCACCATAGCCGATTAGCTGAGCCCTGTATCTTACAAGGGACTGAGCCAACTAATGCATACTAATGCAAGACAAGACCAGAGTCATCTGATAGTCTGACTTCTGGTTTGACCTGATTTTGCTTCAGTTTTGCCCACTGCAGTCCCTAGTGGGCAAAACTGAAGCCTGGGTCGCTTAACTTGGAAGGAAAGATTAACTGAGCCGGTCAAATGCGAGGCGACTTATACCATTGGACGCAGAATTTTATGCTGATTTTGAATCTATATTCCATTTTTCCTAAATGACAATCTATCAATAGTTATAAGTTTGTTAGGACTGTGGTCATTTGGGTCCTAGCGTTCTTGCAGGGTCCTAGCGGCCTTCTGCTGGGGTCTTAGCGGCCTTCTTGCAGGGTCTTGCTTTTAAAGTTTTGTTAGAACTCTGAAAATGTCTGAGACCACATTATCTTTGGATTGTCACGCTAAGACCACATTTTTAGAGTCCTAACAAACTTTAAACACTTATAACTCTTGATAGATTGTCATTTAGCAAAAATGGAATATAGATTCAGAATCAGCATAAAATTCTGCGTCCAATGGTATAAGTCGCATAGCATTTGGCTTAGCCAGTTACATTTAGAGCTTGTTTATCTATTGTTTGTACCATATATTGTTTGTATCATTCGTTTGAATCAAAATAGTTAAAGAAACTTTCGTATTGAGTCAGAAATCCCCTCGTTTCTCATAAAATTCTTAGAGAAAACGAAAATTACAGCAAAATCGCTTGGTGGTCGCTCGTGGCGATCTCGGGGTGGAGAAACACCGAACTCTGGGAGCATTTCAAGCAGTGGACAAATGTCTAGCTACATTGCACCATCTGGGAAAGAGTTTCAGGTGCTTTATTAGCTATTGTCTACTTGAGTCTCTATGAAGAGTCTTCTATGAAGCTTCTGAAGTCTTATGTGCTTATTTTGTAATGCAAATATGCAATATTCAACTTTCAGGAGAAACCGCTAAACATTGTCGAGTTCGCCGAGCTCTATCGCTTGTTTTACACCCGATTGCGGAAAGATCTCAAGTAAAGATTGAGCTTTTTTTTTCAAAGAAATTATATTTCAGAGATGTCTACAATGAAATCGTGCAAAATCTTTCGCAAAATGCTCAACAGAAAAGAGATCGAGATGCAAAAACGTGTCGGATACCGAGCAGATTGGATAGTACTGCTTCACTTCAACACTCTGAATTTATACCACATGGTAAAAGCAATGAGCAAAAGCATTTAATTTAATAAAACTTCAATATTTTCTAGATTTCTTAACAAGAAACACTGATTCGATTCAACAACTCAGCGAGAAACAATGCAAAATCTACAATGCTCTAGCAATGGCGAGTGTCAGCAGGTAAATCATTGAAGTAAATGATTTAAACAAAGATTTAAAAGCTATTTTAATCTATTCTAATCTTTCCTATGAATAAATACACAAATTTCTGTACTTTTTAACGTAAATTTGCAAGAATTCTAAAGATTCTAAAGAAATTTTCAACTTTTTACACTACTTATCACTTTTCTTTACTCTTCTTTACTCTTCTTTCTTAGCAACTACTTTGTTTGCTTTGTTTTTTGGCTAAAGAATAGCATTTGTCGGAGAATTGTCTCTAAAAAACAACATTCTCCTCTTGATACTTGCGAAATTGTGTTAGACTTTTCGTTTCAGTACCGGTGGAATGGATACGACGCGAACTTGTGCAATCACTGTGCCAATGCTTCGTCAATTCCTTGCCACTCAACAAATGGAAATTGTTGATGACTCGTATGTGATGAAAATCATTCAGGTTTGGATCAAAAACTTGCCTGTTTTTTTGATTTATAAAGAGTTTTGGGTTTAAAATGCGGAATCTAAAGCTCAAGCGAAGAACTAAAGCTAAGGCTCAAGCTCAAGCTCAAGAACTAAAGCTGAAGCTTAAGAACTAAAGCTGAAGCTTAAGAACTAAAGCTGAAGCTCAGGAACTAAAGCTGAAGCTTAAGAACTAAAGCTGAAGCTCAAGCTCAAGCTTAAGAACTAAAGCTAAAGCTCAAGAACTAAAGCTGAAGCTCAGGAACTAAAGCTGAAGCTCAAGCTCAAGCTTAAGAACTAAAGCTAAAGCTCAAGAACTAAAGCTGAAGCTCAGGAACTAAAGCTGAAGCTCAAGCTCAAGCTTAAGAACTAAAGCTAAAGCTCAAGAACTAAAGCTCAAGCTTAAGAACTAGCTAAAGCTCAAGCTCTAGAACTAAAGCTCAAGCTCAAGAACTAAAGCTCAAGCTCAAGAACTAAAGCTGAAGCTTAAGAACTACAGGGTGCCTTGTTTTGCCTTGTTGCCTTGTTGTTGAACAGATGAAATAGCAAACATTGTTTTTGAGGCACTAAAGATTTGCGGGTGCAGATTCTCCTATAAATCGCATATTCAAATCTCCCTAAGCTCATTTTGCTGAACTGTTGTCGAGTTTCCTTCCAATCTTTCACTCGAAAAGATTCAACGGCTTTCAATGTCACTTCAAAAACCCCAAAACCAGGTGACGTGCCAGGCTAAGTTCGACTCCCAACTTTGAGAGCCGGTTTAAAAAAATTTGTGCGCTCCTATCAGTTAAATCATAGGCATCGATACAGGAGACCCACTCGAGATTTACCTGTAAAAGTTTTTGTGGGAATCGGTTATCTTTTGGCTGAGCTACAGCTTTCATAGTGAGTATGAGTCATTATGACGCACTCTGTAGTTCTTAAGCTTGAGTTTGAGCTTCAGTTCTTGAGCTTGAGCTTGAGCTTTAGTTCTTGAGCTTCAGCTTGAGCTTTAGTTCTTCTTCAGCTTGAGCTTTAGTTCTTGAGCTTCAGCTTGAGCTCTAGTTCTTCTTCAGCTTCAGCTTTAGTTCTTGAGCTTCAGCTTGAGCTCTAGTTCTTCTTCAGCTTCAGCTTTAGTTCTTGAGCTTCAGCTTGAGCTTTAGTTCTTCTTCAGCTTGAGCTTTAGTTCTTGAGCTTCAGCTTGAGCTCTAGTTCTTCTTCAGCTTCAGCTTCAGTTCTTGAGCTTCAGCTTCAGCTTTAGATCCCGCATTTTAAACCCAAAAATCCTCATAAACTAGTAACTTTCAATACAGTTTACTACTAGTGAAGTGTGCATTGTGCTCAAAAACATCTCCAATCTAATGCACTTAATCAAGTCTAAAAAAACAGTAAACATAGCACTCTAAAATCACTCAAATTCCTCAAATAATGTTTAATCATTAAAAGAACAAACCCTATAATGAATAGAATGAAAATGCGTTTCTTTCCCCGCGAACAATTGATCCGAACATTTCTTTCCCAACGATCCCAACAACAATTGATGCAATTATTGGTAGACGCAAAAAAAAACGATGAAATTATGAAATTTTATTTGAAAATTGCCCGTTTTAAAGGAAAATCTTTATATAGAAATTAAAAATTGATAGATTTACATGAAATTTACTTGAAATTTAAACAGTTAACCCGTAACTTTTAGAGCAAAAACGAAAAGAAAAAGAGATTAAGCAGAAAATGAGATTTGATGAGCAAAAGATTTGATGAGCAAAGTCCGAATCGAACGCAAAAATTCAGACTAGACTCTCCTTCAGATTTCTCTCTCCTTCTTTCTACTTAATTTTATCCCATTCCATTCACAGTTTGATTCCTAATCGAATGAGAACAAGTTTAAGTAAGCAAAGCAAAAGAAATCGCAAAATCTTTAGATAATTTTTGAGCAAATTTGTATTTAAGAAATGATTTGTTAAAGAAATGTTTAAGAAATGATTTAAATTTCATAAAATACTGCAATAGCAGAGAGAGGGCTTTTCTGGAAAAGGCGACGGCTCGATTTGGTCGGCGAACTCAGCAAAGCTTACCTAGAAACTTTTGGATCATAATTTTAACTTTAAAAGCTCTTTGAAAGCTCTTTAAAGCATCTTTAAAACCTCTTTAAAAGCTCTTTAAAAGCTTTAAAACCTCTTTAAAAGCCCTTTAAAAGCTCTTCAAAAGCTTTAAAAGCTCTTCAAAAGCTTTAAAAGCTCTTTAAAACCTCTTTAAAAGCTTTAAAACCTCTTTAAAAGCTTTAAAAGCCCTTTAAAAGCTCTTTACAAGCTCTTTAAAAGCTTTAAAAGCTTTAAAAGCTCTTTAAAACCTCTTTAAAAGCTCTTCAAAAGCTTTAAAAGCTCTTTAAAAGCTTTAAAAGCTTTAAAACCTCTTTAAAACCTCTTTAAAACCTCTTTAAAAGCTCTTCAAAAGCTTTAAAAGCTCTTTAAAACCTCTTTAAAAGCTTTAAAAGCCCTTTAAAAGCTCTTTACAAGCTCTTTAAAAGCTTTAAAACCTCGTTAAAACCTCTTTAAAACCTCTTTAAAAGCTCTACTGTTATAGAAAAAGTCTTAAATAATCAATTTGGTCGATTTGGTCGGCTCGATTTGGTCAGCAAACTCAGCAAAGATTACCTAGAATCTTTCGGATCAGAATTTTTGACTTTAAAATCTCTTTAAAACCTCTTTAAAAGCTCTTTAAAACCTCTACTGTTATAGAAAAAGTCTTAAATAATCAATTCTTAAAGTTTTTAAACTTTCAAAACAAACATTTCAACTCTAATTTCACTCTTTTTCACTCTATTTTAGCTAATTTAAGATTTAAGCTCAAATCAAAAACGTTTTTTCCCTCTTTTCTTTAGTAAACTATTAAAAAATCTATTTCAAATCCTTTTTTAAGCTTTAAAATAATCAAAGGATTTAATATAAGATAGAAAAAAGAACAATTAAACGTCAGAATTCTAAAATTTGATTAAAAAAATCGTAAAAAGTTAATCGACGATCTTCTCGTAACAAAAAACAAAAAGAAACTCAACCTATTTAACTCCTAAAGAAGTTTTAAATACAGTTTTAAATACTATAAACAATTTAAAACCATTCCCTTTCCATTTTTCTTTAGTTTAATACCATTTTCTAATTCGAAAATCAAACCTTTTTCGGTCCACTTGAGCCCACTGAAGATCGATCGTTGCTATTCTAAAAAAAACAAGTTTATTTCCTTAAAATCTTTACAAAACAATGCTCAAAAAGCTTGTAATCAAAGCTTTTCACTCAAATTTCATTTACTAAATCTTTTTCTTAACAAAAAAAAAATGATAGAAAAGGTCACAAATTACAAAGATTCTCTTTCAGAGAAATCTTCATCCAATTAGCTTAACCCAAGAGTCATAGAAATTTCAAAAAAGGAAATCCCAAGAAAAATAGCAAAGAAATATCACGTGTTTTTGCAACAATCGATAGAGAAAGATTTGGTGCATCTAATGATATTTAAAATATTGCAATTGAACAGCTCAACACCGAGGAATTTGAGCTTAAAGTTGGATTGCCAATGGCAAAGGAACAGGGCGAGTATTAAATGTCTGATAACCTTCGGAAAGGACTAAAAAGATCCAAGTCCAAGCTATTCATGTTTAAAGTTGGGAAAGGGGCGGGGCTTAGGAGCTTATATACATACCGCGCCCCTTCGCCATTGAAAATCCAACTTTAAACTCAAATTTCTTGGTGTTGGGCTGTTCAATTCAAATAGTTTTTGTACCAGTCGATAGAGAAAGGCTTGGCGCATCTAATGATATCAAGAATATTGAAATTGAACAGCTCAATAACGAGAAATTTGAGCTCAAAGTCGGATTGCCAATGGCGTAGGGGCGGGGCCAAATGTTCGCATCCAATGATACCAAAAATATTTAAATTGAACAGCTCAATACCAAGATATTTTAGTTTAAAGTTGGATTGCCACTGGCAAAGGGGTGGCGCACGTATATAAGCTCCTAAGCCCCGCCTCTTTTCCCTTTTCCAACTTTAAACTCAAATATCTTGGCGTTGGAATTTTCAATTAAAATAGTTTTTGTACCAATCGATAGAGAAAGACTTGGCGCTATCTAATGATACAAAGAATATTGAAATTGGACTGCCCAACACCGAGATATTTGACCTAAAGGGGGGGCGGGGCGCGTAAAAAGTTCCCATGCCCCCCCCCCTTCGCTTCTCCCCGGGGAGCTGTTCAATTGACATAGTTTTTGTACCAATCGATAGAGAAAGGCTTGGCGCATCTAATGATATCAAGAATATTTAAATTAGACTGCCCAACACCAAGATATTGAAGCTTAAAATTCGATCGCCAATGGCAAAGGCACCGGAGCGCGTCTATAAGCCTCTAGGCCCAGCCCCTTTTGCCATTGGCAATCTAACTTTAAGCTCAAATTTCTCGTTCTTGGGTAGTCCAATTTAAATAGTTTTTGTAGCAATTGATAGAGAAAGACTTGGCGCATCTAACTACAGTCGAACCTCTCTATAACGAACCTCGATATAACGTAAACCTCTCTATAACGTAAGCCGTGACCGGTCCCGGGCGACGTTAAGCTATATAAAACGGCACTCTATATAACGTAAACCTCTATATAACGTAAGCTATAGCCGTCCCGTGAGTTACGTTATAGAGAGGTTCGACTGTATATTAAAAATAGTTCAATTGCTGAAATTTTATCGTTTAATTTTTAAAGAATTCATTTAATATTTGAAGAAATTTAAAAGTTTTTAAGTAGACTCATTTTTAAAAAGAAAACTTAACAAAATTGAAGCAAAACTAGTTTTTTAAAGCTCTTTTTCATCAGCTTTGTCTGATTTTTTTGTTTAGATTACAGTTTAAATTATAAAAAAACAATCTTTCAAGTGTTTTTTTGACTTTTTGACTCACCGGTTCCATTGAGACATGCAAAAAACCATTTTGATGATCATTCTTTTCCTCATTTGTTGTTGTTGTTGCTGTTGAATGAGTGCTTGATGAGGGTGGAGTTTTAAAAACATCGGAAAACGATTCTTTCAATGGAGTTCGCTCTGTGTCCTCCATTTTGAAATCAATAAGAAAGAAAGATCTCTAGAAAATCCTTTATAGAACTTAAACAATCAAATAATAGAAACTTTAAGAAATTAGACACGAAAGGCGAAAAATCTAGTTTAAAAATAGAAAAAAAACAAGTGAAAATTGATGAAAATGGGGTAGGCTAATTTCCGCAATTTTTTTTTTGCGCAACTCGCCATAACTTTCTTCTAAGTGGGCTAATCTTTATGATTTTGGTGTCATTTTGTAGATCTAAATAAGTGCAACAGAATGACACCAAAGTCATAAAGATTGACCCACTTAGAAGAAAGTTATAGTGAGTTGCGCAAAGGTAGCCGTGCAAAGTAGCTACCTAGTTGCACAAAGGACCCAGCAAAGGACCACATAAGTTTTTTCTAAATGGATCAATCTTTATGATTTTAGTGTCATTTTGTAGATCTAAATAAGTGCAACAAAATGACACCAATAGCATAAAGACTGGATGACTTAGAAGAAAGTTATGTCGAGCCAAACGACCTAGTCGTTTGTCAAATGGGTCGTTTGCGCGACTCGCCATAACTTTCTTCTAAGTCATCCAGTCTTTATGCTATTGGTGTCATTTTGTTGCACTTATTTAGATCTACAAAATGACACCAAAATCATAAAGATTAGCTGAGTTAGAAGAAAGTTATGGCTAGTTGCGCAAACGGCCCATTTGCGCAAATGACCCAGTTGCACAAGTGACTCTGTTGCTCAAAAAAATTTGCGGAAATAAGCCTACCCCATGAAAAAAAGTTAAATCAAGCATTTTCTAGTTTAAAAATTCAAAAAGATCAAAAATCTTTCGAATTTATCGTTAAGATTTGCCACTTTGAAGAAAAAGTAAAAGATTAAGTCTAGTTTTTGACTACACAACAAATTTGATCAATTTATTTTCAATTATGAAATGAAAACATTTCCCAAAGATGTTTTATCGACAAATTTCTGCATCTGCTTGAGCTTTTTCGAATTCTATGCCCTTTTTCAGCTCTTAAAATAAAAAGAAAACATCTGCTTGAAGCGATGAAGAGACCAAGTTTTCTTTTTGACAATACTTTTTGCAATTTTCAAGCTTTTCCCCAAAAAACACTCGATTTTGAGATAAAAAAACTGCAGTTTGTTGATACAAAGTAGAAAATGATATGGTACAAGCTTTAGATCTTGTAGATCTTGTAGATCTTCTAGGGCTTGTAGATCTTCTAGAGCTTGTAGATCTTCTAGAGCTTGTAGATCTTCTAGAGCTTGTAGATCTTCTAGAGCTTGTAGATCTTCTAGAGCTTGTAGATCTTCTAGAGCTTGTAGATCTTCTAGATCATGTAGAGCTTGTAGATCTTGTAGATCTACAGATCTTGTAGATTAAGATCTTGTAGCCAAAAAAAAGGCTTATTTGAAGTAAACTTTTTAGTGAAACTATTAGTTAGATTTGGTGAAAAGGGTTCAGCTTTAATGTTATCCAAGTTGAATTTAAAGTTAAAGTTATCCAAGTCGAGTTTATTCAGTTTAAAGTTCAAGTTATCTCTTTATCCAACTTATTAGGTATATGCATAAGAAAGGCGGATTTAAATATTTAAAAAATAAACTATACACTCACTAGATCTTGTAGATCTTGTAGGCTACAAGATACAAGATTTTGGCTACAAGATCTTAATCTACAAGATCTACAAGATCTACAAGATCTACAAGATCTACAATGATCTACAAGATCTAAATGATCTACAGGATCTACAAGATCTACAGGATCTACAAGATCTACAAGATCTACAAGATCTACAAGATCTACAGGATCTACAAGCTCTACAAGATCTACAGGATCTACAGGATCTAAATTGATCACAAGCTCTAGAAGAATACACTCCCTAGATTTAAAATCATTTCCCTTTCACTTCGCTAGTGAAAGGAGAAATGATTATATTAGGTACATGCATAAGAAATGCAAATTTGAATAAATCATAAATCTTTCAACGATAGAAAGCTGATGTTATAAACTAGAATCGATGAATGTTATAAACTATTTGAAAGTCGTAAATCTCCTCTACAAAATAGGCTAAAACATGTTTTAATTGATCGAACGATTGAAGAAATTTCGAGGGCCGAAATGCGAGTGACCAAAAAAGGGCAAAACAAAAAAAATCGAGTCGAGTCACTTTAGGGGCAAGTTTAGTGTCGTCAAAATAGAGTTAACTTCCCAAAATTGAAGAATTAAACAAAAATAAAGGATAGCTAGATATCAATTCATTAAAAATTGATTAATTGATCGAAGCATTGAAGAAATTTCGAGGGCCGAAATGCGAGTGACCAAAAAAGGGCACTTTTTTCATCAAATCTTACTAATTTAAAAAAATTAAAAACTTACTACTATCTTAACTCATTATCCACTACATCACACAGCCATTGCGAGGCTTGGCACGCGTAAGCTTTATAAAGAGAGGCCTGTTGGTTTGACTTATTTGTCTTGTTTGTCAAATTGTTTGTCAAATTGTTGCCAAGTTCGGCATTAAATGAGCGAAAATTCAGAATCATTTCTAAAACCAATCAGATATTCGGAATCAGCGTAAAATTCTGCATCAAATGGTCTATGGCTGATTTCATTTGGTCTATTAAAATCCCCTTGTAAATTCAAAAGAAAAATAACTATTATATCAATTTACATAAGATCTTCAAATCGAGCTTATTATTAAACTAAGATCAAAATTTAAATATCTTTCGAATCGTTAGAACACAGATCAAATCAAATCCAAAACAGAGCTCTAAAAAGCTGAGCTGAGTTGTTTTTCTTTCTTTGAATTGAATAGGGAAGTGTCTCTTCGAGCTCTTCGTGAGCTTCTTGCCTCCTCACTCCTCCAATTAGTCAGGCACATGTCTTCTTTTCTTTTCTCAAATATTTTCCTTTATAAAAGATCTTGAGGAAGTAAAGGGTTTCCCCGAAAATTCTCACTTACTCATTTTTGTTCTTTTTTGCAGGCTATTCGGGTATAATTGGAGAGAATAAATTGAGATTTTCAAAGAGTAAGTTCAATTGTTCAAAGCTGCTTTCTTCCTCACTAGCTAGCTTCCTTCCTAGCTAGCTTCCTTACTAGCTAGCTTCCTTTCTAGCTAGCTTCCTTTCTAGCTAGCTTCCTTTCTAGCTAGCTTCCTTTCTAGCTTCCTTTCTAGCTAGCTTCCTTTCTAGCTAGCTTCCTTTCTAGCTAGCTTCCTTTCTAGCTAGCTTCCTTTCTAGCTAGCTTCCTTTCTAGCTAGCTTCCTTACTAACTATAGATTTTTCAGAATACAAAGTAAATTAAAGCTTAATAAGAACTTTTTGGTAAAAACTGAATTGAAATCGGTAAAGATCTAAACCAAAAATCTTCTATAAAGTAAAATCTACATATAAATTCTTGTTTCTAGACTTAAATTAGCATCTAATCGTCATTTAGTTTTAAAATCTTTTGTGATTACTCGTTAACAAACGTTAACAAACTCGGCTAAGGCTTTAAAAAAGCCAATTTTCAATCTCGACTACGGAAATGTGACTTAAAATCACTTTAAACAACTCATCTAACAACTTTGAACAACATCTAACAACGTCTAACAACATCTAACAACATCTAACAACGTTATCTTAAAGTTTTCTCAAATGAAAGACATTTTTGATCAGTAAAATTGTGATTTTTGGAGTAAAACTGAAGAAAATTATGTGAATTCAAGTAAAATATTTCAATTTCGATTCAATTTCAAATGAATCACTTGAATCACTTTGAAAAGAAAGATCAAAAGATTATTGACAGATTATCGATAGATTATCGATAGATTATCGATAGATTATCGTTGTTGATTGAAAGAAATGTTAACTACAAAAGTTACATCTTTAAAAAGTTGTTTACCTCAAAAATTAAAATCCCAAAAGTTTCCTTTGAGCCAATCAAAGTCTAAATCTAAGAAAAGAAACTCGAATCTGGGCAAAAACGAAACGAAAGCCGGGTGGGAGATGTCTGAATCGAAGAAAAGTAGGGAAAAGAGAAGAAAAGAGAAGAAAAGGTGAGCCCGTTCTGTTAGTTTTCTTTTTTTTAAGAAGAAACGGAAGCCATTTCGGGGCAAGGAGCGGCTGAGATGGGCCGATATGGCCTGAGGGGAGTGGAGAGATCTCGAAGGGGACACTGACCCCGCCCACCACCGGGAAACAACCAAATCACCTCTAACTCTACCTTCAACCTTGAGTGCAACAATTTTTAGTTCATAGTACACAATCGAGTGTTACAATTAACAATCGATTGTGGAACATTTGGCCCCGCCCCTTCGCCATTGGCAATCTAACTTTGAGCTCAAATATCTCGGTGTTGGGTTCTCCAATTTAAATATTCTTAGTACCATTCGATGCGCCAAGTCTTTCTCTGTCGATTGGTACAAAAACTATTTAAATTGGACTACCCAAGAACGAGAAATTTGAGCTTAAAGTTAGATTGACAATGGGGAAAATGGGCGGAGCGCGTCTATAAGCCCCTAAGCCCCGCCCCTTTGCCATTTCTTCTGCATAAGCCTTAAAAATTAGCCAGAAAATGCCATAGTTCTGTCAAAGTAAAGAGCCAAAGCCAAAATCATTTCTCAATGCACTGGATTTGTCCTTGTTTTCTGGAAAAAGCATTCTTGTGTTTTTTCCACAAATTCCTTCAGAATAAAGAGAATTCTCTAAAAAATCTGGAAAAAGCTGGAAAAGTTCCGTTTTGGAAAGGATTCTGTGAAGAGAAACACTCATATGAGATATTTTAACATTAGTTAAGACAAAATGATATTGAGATTGGAGCAGTGAAGCGCGATTGCCCTTCTTTACCTTTCACTTCTCTCGGAACTCTCGTCTATTTCCTTCAGAAACCACCCAAATCACTCTTTTTGCACCTTGAGGGAAAGCTTTTCCCTTCAAAAGATCTAATGGATTTGGATACTCAAAGAAATTCGAAGGATCGGTTGAGCATAAAAGTTTATTGGATCGAATTTTGGACGTTTCTCTTCTTTTTCTC